TCCTCACCCAATCCCTCCTCCCCTCCCTCCTTCCTCCCTCCCTCCGCGCTCAGAGCTGCGGCTGGAGCTGAGCGCGCCGCGTCGCCCGCTGCCGCCGGTGCGGAGCGTGGGGAGCATTCGGCCGCAACCCTCGCCCGCTGCAGAGGGTCGCGCCCGCGCCACCGGCCAGGCTGCCCTGTGCCGGGGCCTTTCCGTCCTTGGAGCGGATCGTTGCCCGCCGGGCGCCCGCCCGCAGTGACAGCGCCCGCCGGAGCCGAGGCCGCGATAGCGGCCGTGCCCATGACCGGGTAAGTGGTGCCCCGGGGCGCGCGGGCGCTGCCGGGGTGGGCGCGGGCGGGGCGAGAGGCCCGGCAGGTGGCAAGGCTGTCAGGCGGGGGAACGCGGGTCCCCGCCTGCGGCACCTGCACCCCGCGCCGGGCCTGCGTGTCCTTGCGGCGCCGCGGCCGCGCGTCACCCCGGGGCCCAAACCGGCGGGCAGCGCCCCGCACCCAGCACCCTGTGCCCCGCATCCCACGCGCACGCGCATCTGCGTCTAGGGGAAAATGCCTCCGGGGGCTGCGGGCGGGGTCCCGGGAGGGCACAGCCGGGGCGCGGGGCCTGGGCCAAGCTGGCCGGCGCACGCACCTCCAGAGCCTCTCTGTACCCTCTCTCCCGTGTCCTCACGCTGTCATTCTCCCCAACACACGGTCTGAGAAACCCTCACACGTTCCCACACTGTCCCCGCACGCCCACACAGACGCCCAGCCGACCCTGCCGCTAGCATGGGCAGTGCCAATAGCAAGCCATCCCTGCCACACTTGGGTAACTCCTTCTCCATCCCTCCATGCACAGCTGTCCTCCCCCTCCTCACCTGTGTGACCTTGGCCAGAAGGCTTTTCCTGTCAGGACCTCAGTTTTCTCCAGGGTTTAGGATTCTGGAATTTGATGCGCTGGGGCGGCATCTCCCAGAGGAGGGAGCCCTGGATCTCCCCCTTGGACAGCCATCCAATTCTCTCTCTAGGACCTGGTCTCTTTCTTAATGCTGGTCTTGCGGGGCTTAGCGGCCAGGCCAGCTGAGAGTCGGTGGCAGGCAAGGTGGGGGCCTGGAGGGGACATTGGCGCGCCCTGGATGAGGGCCAGGTGAGGGGGTTGAGAGAGAGTGGGGAAAAGCTTCCTCAAGGGTCAGGACAGGGCCAGCATCCCTCAACTAGTCACTTGACACTCCTGGGGCGGGGGGGAGTGGGGCCACTTGATTTTTCAAAGATGAAGCCATGGGGACTCAATCAAAAGTGGGTCCCTGACAACTGCAGGGTTGATTCCAGCCTGACCCAGGCCATCCCAGTCTCCCCTGGTTCCTTGCAAGGACTTGGGTGCCAGCCTGGCAGGCATCCCACTCGTTTGCCCACTAGCTCCGTGCCCTCACCCCTGCTGTGTCCTCACCAACTGGTTTGTGAGCATCTTAGGGCAGGGACTGGGTCCTAATCTGTGCCAGCAGCTCAAGTGCCCACCACAGGCGTGGCTCAGAGTGAGCACAGGTTTCCATGTGGCACATTCATGACCTTGACTTCACTGAATCTGCAGAATCACCCCATGAGGGAGGCAAGGCCCGGGTTTTTCCCCCATTTTGCAGATGAGAAAATTGAGGTCCCGAGAGGGGATGGGACTTGGCCCTGCATTGACAGGATGGGTGGATGGCTGGGGCCATTCCCATGGGCCTGGCAGGGAGAATGTCTCCCAGGTCCAGGCACGGCTCTAGGCTGGTTCCTAGACCCTTCAGCTGAGTCTCACCATCAATGCCAAGTGCGGGCCGCTGTTTTCATCTCCCCCTTTCACAGCTGGGGAAACCAAGGCCACAGGGCTCATGAGAGAGGAGACGGGATGCAGACCTGGGCAGGGGGAACCCCAGCCTGAGCTAGCCCGCAGGGGGGAGGGCTGGGGCCTGCCTGGGTCCCTGCCATGCCTCAGCTGGAACCTGGCAGAGGGTCCGAGGGTGTTGGAAGAGGCTGGGCAGTTGCGGTCCCAGGCTATTGATTGTCCCTGATGCTAGCCTCGAGGAGAAAGAGGGCCAAGGACACAGCTAGTCTTGATCAGATCAACCTGGTTCATGCCCAGCACTGCCAGGTGGTTTGAGCAAAGGGGCAGGCGGCTCTGGCACAGACATGTGGGGGGGTGACGCAGGCAGATGGCACTAGGGTGGCGTGGGAGGGGGCTTTGTGTGGAGCCAGAAGGAGAGCCAGTCTTATGGGGAAGGAAGCCCCAAGCTATGAGCGCTGGGGCTGGGGAGAGAGCTATAACCATAGGTGCAGAGGTGCTGCAACAGGCCCCTGAGGGCCAAAGAAGGCTTGGGGGAGCTCCTGGGTTTGCTGCCACCTCTGGGACTGCCACCTCTGGGACTGATGGTTTTGTGACCTTGGCCAAGTCCCTTCCCTGCTCCAGGCCTGGAGAAGGTGGGGGGTGGGCATCCGTGGACTCCGCTGACATTTCAGGATTCCCAGCTGGAGCTTTGGAGGTTGAATCATTTGCGAGCAAGCGGGGAGAGGCCCAGGCAGTGAGTCAGTGAGCTCTCTCCATCCCAGAACATCTTCTCCCAGATCAGGAAGGCTGCCGAAGGGTTCTGGGGTCAGCTTAAGCCCCTCCCCCACGCCTCTCTTGCCTTCCTGGTGGACAAGATGAGAGTGCTCTGGGCCCCTGGGGGCTTTGAGAGCTGACCTTCAGCTGGGACTCTTGAAGCCAGCGAAGCCAGCTTCCTCCCACCTTACAAAGTGAGTTGTCAGCACATTTGTGGGCTATGCCCATTGCACTCCCTTCCGATTTTAAACTGAGGGTGTGTGTATTTAACTGATGGCTGCTGTCTCTATCAGAGGTTATTAGCACATCAAATAATGTCGGTAATGACAGTGATAATAATAATGGCAGTCATCTTGTGCCAGACATGGTTCTCAGTGCTTCACAGACATCCCTTCACTTCACTGACACAACAACCAAATGTAGCAAGGGCTGTTACCATCCCCGTTTTCCATATGAGGAGACTGAGGCCCAGAGAGGTTAGGCAACTTGCCCAAGGTCACACAGCCAGTGGATGGTAAAACCAGGATTGGAAGGCAGGCCATCAGGCTACTGAGTCTGGTCTGTGCATGTAGCCACTAGCTCCACAGTCTCTAGAAGTCTGTGCTGAACTCAGCAGAATGGAGTGTTGCACATGTGATCCGATTGTCGAGGACACTTCCAGGCCTGAGAAGACCCTGAAGTTCAGAAGCTGAGCAACCTGTGCCCTCTATCTATCCACTGAGAAAAATGGACAAACCATGGATTTATATCAATCTGAAGCAAGTTGGGGAACAATTTGCAGTTCAGTAAGTCTTCTGCATGGCCCCTCCAGTGCACCTCTACGAAGGGGCAGTCTCAGTGTGTGTAAATGGGACCTGGGCTGTGGCACCAAAGGCAGACGCTTAAATCTAACTGAGGGCTCGCTGCTCCGGAGCCTCACCAGTGCCATCTCTGAGATGGGCCCAGGTGCTGGGCTCTGGCTGTGACTTTGCTGGGCATGGCAGGCAGAGACTTGGAATGTGCAGATGTCTTTACCTTGCCCCCTGTCATTTCCCAGAAGGCCACTTCTTTAGCTGGGGCCCCAATTCCTCACTGTTCCTCTCTTCCTAGCCCTGGCTGAGCTGGCAGAAGCCAGGCCGAGTGGCGCCCGGCTGGAAAGCCCTCCCCTGCCTGTGCACCTTCTGTTGGGTGGGAGGTGCTGGAAGTGGGCCTGGGAGTGCCGCCTGGAGAGCAGGATCTGAGCCCACACGTCACCAGAACGGAGGGAAAGAGGCTCTCAGATGCAGGAGCGAAGGCCAGGCATCTTGGACTGCCCAAGGTTGGGAAGGGGATGAGGCCAAGGTCACATGGCTGAGTAGATGACAGAACCCAAACCAGAGCCATAGGATGAAGTGGGAGGAAAGGACTGGGGATTTGTCCTGCGTCCCACCTCGAGAGCTGGCAGGGGACTCGGGGCACATGAGGTTTCTAGAGATTTGGGTCCAAATCAGAGTTACGCAAAGGGGATGCTATGGTCAGTGTCTTTAGGGAGTGCTTTATTTAAAGGGGTTCTGAGCCTGATTCTGTGTTCTGTACTTGGGTCCCTTAGTAAAAGGGAACCTTTTTATTCAAATGGGAAGTTCTTTCCTACAGCCACAGTTCCGAGGCACTTTCTAGAGCTTCACAGTCGGATGCAGTAGCCAGTGACCACAAGTGGTAATTGAAGTAAAGTTTAGAATTCAGTTCCTCAGTCAAACTAGCCACATTTCAAGATGGCTACTGTATCAGACAGTGCAGCTAGAGAACATTTCCATCACAGCCAATGCAGACCCAAGTCCTCACACAGACCCTGAGGCCACTCTCATGCCTACTCCCCCATGGCCCCTTGAAAGGGAGTGGGTCAAGCAGGTGTGGATGCCTCAGGGCAGCTGGCCTGCCCCCTGGAGTATCTGGGGGCCTTTGCCGTACTTGCCAAGGCTGGCCCAAGTGCCTCCACACACATGGGGGAAGGAGGACAGGGCAGCCCACCACGAGGTGGGGATGCCTGGCCTGGTCCAGCAGCACACTGATTCCAATGACCTGGCGCTCCAGCTTGGGGCAAACCCGGATCTGGCCTGTTCCACTCTGATGAGGCCTCTGCCTTGTGCTCAGGCTGTCTCACAGAGGCATGCTGGTGGCAACTGGGCGGCTCTGGATTTTTAAAAAATAACATTTCTTTCTTTCCATTTAAAAATAATGCTGCTAACATGTATGCTCTTTATAAAAAATTCATGAAACACAGAGAAGTAGAAGACATAGGAAGCCCCCTATTCTATTATCCAAATGCAAGCCAGTGCTTCCATTTTATTGGACTCGTTTCCACTCTGTTTTCTTTGCATGGACTATTTATTTTCACATTACTGTAATTATACCATGGGCATAATTGTGTAATCTATTTTTTACTTCACATAAGCATTTTCTTTATTAATATAATCCTTTCCTAAATGAATTTTTTTTCAAAATGGATATAGTTTAAATTTTTTAAGATTATGAAAGCAGTAAGTGCTTATTGCAAAAATAAAGGAAGAACTTGAATGATGCAAAGAAGGAACTACAAATGCTCATTCACTCATTCAACAGCTATTTATCAAGCACCCAGGATGTATCAGGGCAGTCCTCAGGGCTGTAATTACAATTTTTAATGGATGAATAATATTCTCTCAAGAGAGTGTAATTCGCTTAATTATTTGGCTATTTGTGGAAATCCATGCAGTCGGATTCGTTTCGCTCTCATACATGGGGC